GTATAAGAGACAGGCCTTATTGGACACGACATTCAGATCGGACTTACACTCTACATTGGGATTGAACTGTGTGCGACATTCGGAGATCAGACTTGGGTTGGACTTGGCTACCTCTATGTCCCTCCCCCTTCTCTCTCGCATGTCTATGGATCTCTCCCCATGTGTGTGAGCGGAAGGGCAATCTTTCTGGTGTCTTGCCCTTCCGAAGTTTCTCCCTTTCATGTTGTTGTCCACGTGTCCTTTGATACTAGATCTTCCGCTGCGCTGCTTCCCAGCCTATGATGGTGATGATACGAATGTGTTGTTATTGATTTCCCGTTGTTTCACTCTTTGTGTCGCGGACATTGACACCTTGTGAATGTTGCACCTATGATGCTGGTTGTTGCCACTTGCTAGATCCTAGGCTTTCAGTGCATTTCACTTTCTGATATGCTACAGAAAGAGACAGCAAAGAGCAAACTCCTTCCGGTAGCAAGGCATACTAATTCTGGTAAGTTGTGCATGTCCAAACCCACGAACCGGCCAAGAACCAGCACCAAGGAGGATGACAAAAGCAAAAGCCATCGTTAAGGAGAGCAACGACCTCAATATTTCCTTCTCAACAGGGATCAGTATACATACTCGAACCACACCATCTAGGAAAAATAGGGGATGGGGCAACGCGTAGAGCAGTGTCAAAACAAGGCTTTCAAGTAGACGCGGGGTAGGGTAAGAGTTCAAGGAAGGGGAGAACGAAAAAACAATAGAAGATAGAAGTGAGAGTACGCAAGGAAGAGAAAGGTAGGACAGTCATCGACGAGGTGAGAGCGATGAAGGCACATTTGAAGGAAGTAATAGTTCAAAGGTGAATAGGTCACATAAGGAAATAACAAGAAAAGAGAAAGGGGACGAATAAGCACGAGTAGAACGGATAGACTAAATAGGAAGAAGGGCAGCGCGGGAGGAAAGAGGGATTTTCAACATCAAATAATCTGCACGAACACGGTCACGTCGTGCGAATAGGATTTCAACCCCTACGAGCCCCAGTCAGTACTTCACCTCCGAGACACTCCCATGACCATCCCTTAGCCCTACCAATACAGCCCCCCGATTCATCCTATCTCCATCGCTTTGTTCTACCTGGTATAAACACACAGCCCCCTTCTTAGAAACTCACGACCCATAGCAAAGAACAATGCAACAAATAGAAACTTTGTCTTAGCATGCTAACGGGGAACAGCCCTCGAAATCGTGTCCTATGCCAATCATCTCACCAAGCCCAGAACCTCGTCACGAACTTTGAGAGCTGATAATAAATCCATCGGGTGTTGACATTGGATCTGCGTAGCCTATTCCCTCCTAGATTTGCCCCCATTATATTTCCCCTCCACACCAGTTCACCTGAAGAAACGCTTCTAGTTGATTCAATCATCCACTATTAGTACTTTCATCATTACTTCACGCCTTTCATTATTAGACCAGCCATTACCTTGTTCATTATTTTTCTCTCTCAACTGCCTCTCCTGGCCGTGCATGCATCCCAACAAGACAAACACCAACATTGGCCTGCTTTCACTCCTTTCAGATTGAAGCTACTAGTATAGCTACCGGTGTCAACAAGATTTGATTAACCACTATCATTCTTTCACCAAGAAGTCTATTTCCTAGTCTTCAAGAGCATATATAGGAAACTCGTGTGCCACGAAAGTTCCTCTCAATTGCCGCTTCAAATTGCCGTGCTGAGGTGCTTGGTCAGATCTCCAATCCCAAGGGGGGGAGGAAATGCTGTGAAAATTCCAAATTTTCTGCCTGCATTTTGCAGAGTGTATCCAGATCCTGTCCGTATTGCAATCAGACTCACTTTCATTTCCACTCCCTTACATGCAAATAGATGGTGAATCACACTGGCGCACAGCGCCCACTCAAAGCTCAGAGATATGACAATCGAGAACACAGTTCAGACGCAAAACTCGCTTCTACAAGCTATGGCGCATCAGCTCCTACACAGCCCAACTCTCGTCACTGCGTTCAA